CTGATAACAAGATCAAGTTGCCATGACGAAATCAGACCTCATCTACACTGAACGAAGTTTAGAACCAGGCTCAACATATTTTAGAAAGAAATAGTAAAACGAAGATGTTAGGCAAATTGCAGCATCATTATTTTCTTGTAACTGAATACTATTGTTGGCCATATGATGTCATCAAATTACAAAGTATGAATACTCCTTAAGGGCCTTGAACATTTATTAGAGTTAATTTATGGGACTGAATCAGTATTTGTTTACAGCAATATATTTATTTGTAATGCAAGGCAATATAACATCTTTAGAATAATCTAGCTTATTTATAAATGGTCTTACCTTATTTTATAAACATAGTCGTGCTTTTCGTATGACTTAGGTGAATGGATATTGTTCAGAGTCCTCTTCCAGAGTAGTCATGATAATTTCGTACATGAGGCCGTATGCTTATTGCATTCCCAGTAATTTCACTCAAATCGTAGTCGACATCATCAGTGAGCCTTGTTATTCTTAGTACAAGACTGCAAATGGTCAAATAGTTGTCCTCGTAAATTCACTTATCCCATATACTGGTATCTACACCTACATTAGTTTAACTTATAACTCGATTATTTTAAATTTCTCAAGCAATGTCTTTTTAAACTGATTTAGTTAGACATATCCAAATTCCACGTTGCTTCCCTCTAATTTGTCATTTTTTTGAAATGTTGCAACTATTTTGACTTATCTGGAAGCTTCTTCCTCCAGGTCCCATGTCATGAAAAATCCTTTAACTTGGTTCTTGCCTTAATATTTATGTCAGTTGAGGCGTCATTTCCTATGCCTTGCCTTAAGTGCTTCATGGCAGGCTACTAATGTCTGTATTCTGTCTGATACCACGACTATTCAGTAGAAAGCTGGTCTAAGCATTAGTTTCGTTTGCCACTTTTGACAATTTCTAGTCTTATACTAAGAATGGCGAGGTTCACTCATGATGCCGGGTTGAGTGAAATGCCTGAAAATTTAATAAGTCTGCGGCCTGACGTATCATGACTATTTTGATAGATGACTCCGGATAATATTTGTTTAGCAAAAGGAGAGCTCAAATAAAATACAGGCTATATTGGCCCTTCCAACTTAAAGTAACCTATTTAATTTTGCCTATTACTGATTTACGCTATGTAGTAGTATATTTGCTAGCTAGATTTACTTTTTAGAAGGTCGCTTTCCTTAAGCTATTAAGAATATTAGTAATGAGGGTATCCGATATAGAGTGCAATTAATTGGCATGCCATTATCTCATCTTCCCAAAATCAAAAAGGAAATTCTTTTTCTAATATTAGTAGTATTAATTATTCATCTATTTCATTATAAAGACTAGAAAATTATCTAATTTTTATTTTTCAGGCGACAAAATTGCGAAGTAGCTATCCAAATATTGTATAAATACTGCTGGCTGCTAATGTGACATTTTGAAATTCTCCTTCAACTTGTGAATGAAGATATTAGCCAACGAGGGTGAGAGTGGTGAGCTCATAGGCTGACCAAATATTTGCACATAGATGCGGCCGTTGAACGTTAAATAGGTCCTTCTTATTGTTAAGTGGATTAATCGGGTTAGGGACTCTCTACGCATTTGCTTTGTATTCAAAATGTCATTTTCTGTTTCCAATATCTCCAGTGGTGTAGTAAGTGTTTTTACTCCCGTGATGTAAGTGCACATGGGCTGTACAGTAATACTCACCAAAAGTTAGTTTCTTTTAAGACTGATGCCTCTGATTAGTTGGAAAAATTGTATGAGTACTTCGCTGTATTTTCTTTAAGTTGAAGCAAACAAATTTCGTGAGTTAGTGTTAGTACGTGTTTGTTTTTTGACTATCAGTCTTAATTGTCTATTTCCCAAGAAAATTTGCTTATTTAAATTTTTATATTTATACTCACTACGCATATCCACGATTAATTGAATTTAGCGTTAGAATCCATGCTCAACGTTAAGAAGTGCATGAAGTAGGATTATTCATGTCTGAGAAAGATTTATAGTCACTCTTCTTTCTATTAAGATCAATCCTGTCTACTTTGCTTTAATATTCTAGGCTCTAAATGCAGTCAAGCAGCACTTACTTTCTGATACATTCCTTCCTTGTATTTTTCCTGCTCTGCGAAAATTTTCAGTGTCACGCTTACTATATGAAACCTTTCAACTTACTTACTTTTTATAATTCATCGCTCTATCATTGTTTTATAAGGGGACAATTATTCAGACAAAGTAGCTCAGCTCTACGCTATGATTGGCCTATATGTAGCTTATATAAAATTCAAGGAGCATACATTTGTATAAATATAAAAAAATTATAAAACAGTCAAGATATTGCAGAGAAGTTAATTAACATATAAAAGAAATTTACTCCCCAGCCTGTCTTATGCATATTTTACGAATGTACTTAGCACATTAGCTAACC